GTACTTTTAAGATAAATCGTTAAATTAGTCGATAAGTATACTGACAATTTGTACATTATGAAGAAGTCAGAAACAACAAATAAACAAACAAACAAATAATAAAGAGAGTAAGAACAAAGATTGATACAGAATAATAAATGAATTCATTTTATTTCATTAGGTTCTTGTCAACTACTTACAACTTAAAAGATTTGAAAGTCAGCGTTATTACAGATATTGACATACTTATTACATAAGGAGGTGATTAATCGGCGAATACATGTGTATTATGATGTAGCGAAGATTCTAATAGAGTTAATGAGGTCATAAAAGTTTGTCTTGAATAAATAAAGTTTGAGAGGAAAAGTTCCGGAACATTCAAATAGTGATTAGAACTTATGAATTCTTTGTTCTTGCTCTCTTTAAGATAATAAAGGGAACTATGTGTATGAAACAGATAATATTTTCACATGATGTTGGTTTATGTAGTTGATATTGTTGTTATCAGAAGGGGTTTGTGGAGATTTTAAAAATTTCACAGATTGAAATCATGAGTCAGTTGAAGCTAGACCACCATGGAAAACCTGGAAGCACTAGATGGACGTTTCGCCCTATTGTGGGACTCCTCAGCAGTGCGCATCCACGACCCCGCCCCCCGCGGGATTAGAACCCAGGACCTATCAGTCTCGCGTGTGGGCGCTTAACCTCTAGACCACTGAGTCGGTATCCAAAGGTGTTAATGTCTAACTTCAACCAACCCGCTACCGTACACCGTTGTCTTCACTGAGTTCCTATCTCACAACAGACTTGGCTGAACTCTACTGGTAACGATTTCTCACTAGAACTCCAGGAGTATCTCCTAAGGAGTCCCATAATAAGACGAAACGGCCATCCAGTGCTTCAAGGTTTTCCATGGTGGTCTAGCTTCAAATGACTCATGATTTCAATCTGTGATATTGTTGTTGTCTTGGTTTAATGGTTTATCTAATATTTGATGATAGGATTTCCTTTACCCGCTAATGTAAATAGTGTGTTGTGTTGATTGTAACTGTGATTGATTGTTTTTATTTGTGTTGGTGCTAGTGGTGGTGTTTCGAGTTCATTTCACTTATTATTGTGACTGCGTTTCAAGTTGTATGTGATTATTTTGTTGATTTTATATCAGTATGATGAAATGGGTGTTAATTTGATTGATTTGCTGTACTGAGCTTAAGTGATTGTTATCGTCGATACTTCATGTTATTATTATTATGGCAAGACTATAAGTTATGAACGAACCAATCAGGTATAAGATAACAGGTCTCGGATTTTGAAGTGAAATTCATTCATCCATTTGGCTGAATGGAGTTTTGGTATTGTAGCTGATGTCAGTTCGTGAAGAAAACCCTAAATTTAATTCCTAACCTTAACCATCAACTGTAAATCATAATTCTAATTTCTCACATTGGTTTACAACCCCCATTTGATCCTAGTTATTAGATGGACACTCTCAAGGTTAGTCTAGCGTCGCTCAAAGGTCGTCCGTCAATTATAGTCTCACCCAAATATTTATTAGCGACAAATCTATTATTTATTCGTCATGGATAGATCTCACCTGAAATATTTTTTTTTGAAAAACAAATATTCGTTTCAGTTCAATGTGACATTCTCCAACAGTTCATACCAACGACCTCGTCAGAAATTTAAAACGGATCTTGTAGTTAAACACTAGGTTGGTATCTGATGTTACACACTACTTCAATTGATTGACGATATTGTAAAAGTATCACACATTACTTACTTTTCTTTATCCTGGTTAACGTTTTTTTTTTCATAACAAGGTTGTTTTCTACGGGATGGGGTTGCTGACCTCACGCCCAACCCACTTCCTTCACTCGGTCTTGAGACTGGAAATAACCCTAGAAGAGCTACAGGAGGAGTTCGCACACATTACCGTTGACAATACTACTTGACACCTGATAAAATTATTCTTATTAAAATTGCTCCTCAAAATTAGCTGTCAATAACCATTTGATAATTTATAACATAGATTGTTGTAATTTTTGTAATTTCACACTGCTTACTGACATTGAAACCCAATTAATCTGGAATCTCATACTTGGACAAATTAGATTTCTAATGTTTCTTAATTTTTATCAGTTATCTAACTAAAGTCAGTTATTCATGGGAATTTGCAAAATTCAACAATTTCCACGATCTTTAATAACATAATATTCTGATGATCTTATTTCATGAACCAAAGTACTATATTCATACTTCTGATCATCTTCGTCTTCTTATTCCATAGAATATGAGCCGATTAACCTTGAACTTTAAAAGTTTAGTATCACGTATTTAATTGAAACCAAATAAGTAATTCAAAATTGTTTTTAAGTATTATGTAAGTCAGTCAGTCAGTCAGTCAATCATCTACAATATAGGACCAGGCACATATATGCATCGAACCAAGTTGCCACACATCATTATCACAACAATATGAATACCAAATTGATAAAAGTAGTTAATTCAATGGTGGTAATATATAAAAGAAAGATTGCGTATAAGGATATAGTACAGGAAGAAACAATTAGAAAGAAACGTATAAAGTAATTTTAATCTCATGGTTTAAGGGGGAGAAATTGTAGTGAATTTATTTATTTATGTAAACACATAAACATTGGTACTATGAAGCACCAAATAGGTATGCGCCACATAAATCATTCGATTTATGTGAGAGCTGGGATACTCCCCGGATGCGCAAACCGAAACGAGTGGTTCTATTAGGGGACCACACCCGGAGCCTTCGACCTAAAGGTCTGATCCACATGGCAGTAGAACAGCGTCAGGAGATGCAGTCCTACGATAGCCGGTGACTAACAATTGGTTCATAGGTTATTTGTTTCCTTAGGATACTGGATCCCATGTGCACCATTGGTTTGGAATGAGGGTTTTTCAACTCTCCTAGGTGGACTCTCTGTGTTCTTCAACCCGGTTAAAGCATCGGACATTCGCTTTTAATCCTCTCAATTTCGTAAACAGCATTCAGTAGGACTTCTCTGTCAGTGACTGTATAGATGTGAAAGCATTTGAAGAGAGAGAGCTGACTCTCTCTACTCTCGGCCGTACCGGGGCATATGGGGGTAGATTATGACTAAGTTTAAGACAATGACAAGATATATTTCAATGAGACTATAATTTCAGAATTACTTTTAAGTGATACTAAAATAATCTAAAGAAATTTCAACTAATTATTAAGTTCAAAATATGGTCATCATTTACTGTAAGGAATTAGAATTGAGAATTGGAATTAGGCATTAGAATTTGTTATCATGAACTAGCATCAACTATAATACCAGATTTTTATTTAGCCTTATGAATGAATGAATTTACCGCCGAATATCCAAAAGGTGTTATAGATGATTTGTTAAGTATACTATCATCTCACTTATATTTCATTTGTATATAAAGTTCAGAGTTCATTCAATCGATAACTTGAATTTCTATTCTTGGAGAACTTTCCATTTTTGCATAGATTCTCTTTAAATCTTATACATTACATTCGATAGTAAAATTAGTCAGTTTAGTCTCATTCCATCTGAATGTTACTACTTAGAAAAAAAAAGCATGCACATACACAGATATACAGATAAACATTGGAACGTACCCATGTAACAAAGATGTCAAACAATTATTGAAAATTTATATCTAAGAAATATGAAATAAGATCCTCTTTTTTCAGAGAAACAATTATGTATATCTTAAAAATAACTGAACTCCACCTGGAGCCCCTCTAGGGCTATTGCCGGTCCCAAGCCCGGATAAAGGAGGAGGATTGGGCATGGAGTTAGCGACCCCACCCTGTGGAAAACTAGCTCGCCAGAGAAAACGCTAATCAGAAAAGAAATAACTAAAAAGAAGGAAGTTTTCTCTTCTCATCAAAATCATTTACTTAAGCTGTACATTCGTATTTATAGTTACATGGGAAATATATGTATCTATAGAAGGATAGAGAATGATACATCATAGATTGATTGGAGACTCTTATTATCAACAATCAAGGAGTAAGAAAAGAAGATAAGGATGGAAATAATTTACGAGACTGAATTTATTCGCTTGACAGATATGAAGAAGAAGAAGAAGAAGAAGAAACACCCAAAACATAAAGGTCATAACAACAAAAACTGAAATAATAATCAAGAAAACTTGTTTAAGGGCAATAATAATAGCTGATTACAGTTTAAAATTAAAAAACACTAATTTACAAGAATCAATAATAATAATAATAATAATAAAATGCAAAAAAAATAGGAACATACTATAAAAAGGAATTAGAGCCAAGAGCGGATGAGAGGTTGGACGTATCGTTTACTCACATAAAGTTCAAGCTTAAGTTGATGGATTACGAATACCTCAGCAATGCATAAGATTTTGATTCGACCTCTGATTATTTTAAAAGAAGACTCCTTTGGAGCAATATGTTCATAGTTGATTAAATGCTCCTACATTGAACTAGTAATTGTTTTACATACTCCTTATAAAAGCTATGCTGGATAGTGTTCTGAGATGCGTTCAGATAGTGATCTCTTTGTGCCTACAATGTAACCTGCCCCATATTAACAAATACATGATGTGACCCAAAACGGAAGTTTATCCTTAACATACTTATAATACAATCTTTTCTATCTATTTACCACATAACTATAAATATGAATGTACAGCTTAAGTAAGTCATTTCATCGAGAAGGGACAAACTTTCTTGCTCTTAATTCTCTTTATTGGTTGAAGTTAGACAGTAACACCGTTGAATGCCGGCTCAGTGGTCTAGTTAGTTAAGCGCCTGGTGTGAGACTGATAGATCCTGGATTCGAATCGCGCTGGGGGTGGGGTTGTGAATGCGCACTGTTGAGGAGTCCCATACTAGGACGAAACGGCCGTCCAGTGCTTCCAGGTTTGTCATGGTGGTCTAGCTTCAACTGACTCATGATTTCAACCAGTGAAACCTTATTTTTATGTTTATTCAATGACATAATAGATTATCTTACTTGCATAATTCAACCTGGATACAAGAATAAGAATGGAATTAAATATTATTTCAAATTTAAACAATGACTCATATTATATATACATTTCCTGATAGACATACAAACACTTATATAGGAAAACAGACACACAACACAAGGTCATTTGATAAATAAATAAAAAAATTAAGTAGTTATAACTGATCAAGGTCGTTCAAGGTGAAAGGGGTGTTGTGATGATTAATTTATGTTATAGATGTACTCATTGATGATTTATTTCAAGATAACTTGCCTGAATTTCTAGTAGGAATTTATGATTGATAATTATTACACCGATTAGTTGAATGGAACTTGTCACTATACATCAACTTCATTGACTGTGAGAAGGTATTTAATAGTGTAGATAGGAGAACATTATGGAAACGTCTTCGATACTATGGAGTTCCTGAGAAAATTGTTAACATTATCTGGAACTCATACGATGGACTACAGTGCAAAGTCGTACATGGAGGACAGCTGACAGATGCATTCCAAGTAAGGACCAGAGTCAAACATTCTTCCTCTTTACTGTTTGATAATGCGGATAACCAACAAATTGGCTAATCCTACCTAAGTTTTATTCACTACAGTTACATCTTTCAACATTGTTTAGTATATGGATGCTTCAGTTTTCAACTGAAGCAAGGTTCAAGTATTTATAAATAGTTGTCTATGAAAGATACTCAACATCCATTGGTTGGATACTATCAGCAACAGTCTTCTGTGGGAGAGAACAAACCAGCTTCCATCTGAAGAGGAAACTAGGGAAAGACGACGAAAATGGATAGGACATACATTGAGGAAATCATCAAACTGCATCACGAGGCAAGCTCTAACTTTGAATCCTGTAGGTAAGCGAAAAAGTGGAAGGCCAAAGAAAATACTACGTTGGGAATTGGAAGCGGACATGGAAAGGATGAGTAATAACTGGAAGGAACTGGAAGGATTGCACATGACAGGGTTGGATGGAGAAAGCTTGTGGTCGATCTATGATCCTCCACGAGGAAAAACATGCGTAAACTATTAAAAACGGTATTGATTGATCGTTTCCTTACACTGAGAAATGATTGTAGTTAGAAATTTGTGCTATTCGATGTCAACTAAGTAATTTGATGTTTAAAAGAATATTGATAAACTAGAAAATGCTGGGTTTGATTCGTAAGGTGATAGATATCGTGTAAAACTAACAAATTCCATAGTAGAACATGGTAGTTGTACAGTACTCCATAGTTCTTATTTGTATCACAAATTAGGTCAATCAGTCCTGAATGCCATATATATATATATATATTCTTAATGGTTGAGACCATGAGTCAATTGAAGCTAGACCACCATGGAAAACCTGGAAGTACTGGACTGATAGGTCCTAGGTTCTAGTCTCCTGAGGTGGGGTCGTGGACGAGCACTGCTGAGGAGTCCCATTCTGGGACGAAACGGCCGTCCACTGCTCCCAGTTTATCCATGATGAACTAGCTTCAATTGACTCATGATCTCACCCATTAAAAATTACTATGATATCCACAAATCCCCTTCTGATGTATATAAATTTTTAATTGATTTGAAGCGTCTGATTACACTAAGCCAAATATCATCCAATAATCAGTTATCTATAGAACAATTCTTTATTGAGGAATAAACATAACTTGTTTGCACACCCTAACTCATGAGGTGTCTGTGGAGCTTAGTAAGTATAAAGATTTGAAAGGAAAAAGGATTCCTTCAGTAATAATATAAAGATTAATTACGGTGAACAATAGTGAAAATGGTGGCTGATAGCTGTGTCCAATGTTGACAACAGTTTATCAACAAGCAAAAAGGAACTAAAAGCTGAAAAATATGGAAGCCGTTGAGTTTAAACCAAGATTCAGGGACCATCTATAATTGAGAATAACTGTTATAGAGTTTGAAGGCAAATAGTTAAAATGTCAAACATAGAAACTTTATAAGTGTATATAAATAATTTAGAATATTATGCAAAAAATAAACTTGCGTTTTTACATATGCGTAGAAACTGTCAAGAGTATTACTGTTTACTGAATACTGATAGGTAGTACAAAAATGCAAAAAATAACGGATTAAGAAGAAGAGGATAAGGACAGAGAACATAAACGAACTACATATAACCAGACACCAATGGCTTATTGTATCAGAAAATAAACCAGCTTCCAGCTGAAGAGGAAATGGAGCAAAGACTCTGTATGTGGATAGGAGACACATTTCGGAAATCATCAAACTACAAATCAAGGCTTGCTGTAACTAGGAATCCTCAAGGCGAAAAGAAAAGAGACAGATCAAAGAACATATCCCGCCAGCAATTGGAGGTAGACATAAAAAAGAACAGATAGTACAAATGTAAGAACAAATGTAAGAGAGACCCGAGGACGGAGTCGGTTTGGGAATCGTAGTCGGTGCCTAATACTACACGAGAGTTAATAGGCATAAATAATTCAGAAAATAATTAAGGAATAAATGGGGTAATAAACAAACAGTAAAACAATAGACGGTATTGGCGAATTCTCTTGATTCTTTCGTAAGATCTTTCAGAGATCAAAACAAATAATTTAAGTAAGTATCAACGTCTTGCTTGATCATTTCAAATAAATTAAGCATTGCATAGATTGTTAACACAATCCAGTCACAATTGATGGAGAAGATTTGGAAGATGTAAAAACCTTTACATATTTGGGCAGCATAATTGATGAACATGGTAGGTTTGATGCAGACGTGAAAGCGCGGATCGGTAAAACAAGAGCAGCATATTTACAACTGAAGAACATCTGGAAATCAAAACAACTGTCAACCAACACCAAGGTCAGAATTTTCAATACAAATGCCAAGACAGCCCTACTGTATGGGGCAGAAACCTGGAGAACTACGAAAGCCATCATCCAGAAAATACAGTTGTTTATTAACAGTTGTCTACGCAAAATACTTCGGATCCATTGTTCAGACACTATCAGCAACAACCAACTGTGGGAAAGAACAAACCAGATTGTAATGGAGGAAGAAATCAGGAAGCAGTGCTGGAAGTGGATAGGACACACATTGAGGAAAGCACCCAACTGCGTCACAAAGCAAGCCCTCACATGGAATGCTCAAGGCCAAAGGAGGAGAGGAATACCAAAGAACACATTACGCCGGGAAATGGAGACAGACAGACATGAGAAGAATGGACGAAAATTGGATAGAACTAGAAAAGAAGGCCCAGGACAGAGTGGGTTGGAGAATGCTGGTCGGCGGCCTATGCACCATTAGGAGTAACAGGCGTAAGTAAGTAAAAGTAAAAGATTGTTAACAATAAAATAGTGAGATATTTATTATATCCTAATGAATAAAAATTTAAATTTCTGATGTTTCGTGATTCTGTATAAGTTGCTTCTTCAGAGAATAAAGATAAAAATAAATAAATTTAATTAACCCAAGTTTATGAAATACAAATGAATGAAATAGAAATATTTAATAATAACAGCAAAATATCTCCGATCAACTCACTGTCATGTCACTCCGGTCAAGGTTACTTTTGTGACAGACGATTGTGTATTTATGTTCATTTTAATTAGTATTAAAGAAAAAATGCAATAGTGTAATAGTTAGAATGGAATTTGTATTTGTAATAATGGTGTACAATGTGAATAGAATTAAATATGTTACCTTTGATAAATGATCCAATTTGGATGAATGGTAAATATTCTTTTCTATTGAAGGTAATAGAATCTAGCACTGCTGAGGAGTCCCATACCAGGACGAAACGGCCGTCCAGTGCTTCCAGGTTTTCAATGGTGGTCTAGCTTCAACTGACTCATGATTTCAATCTGTGAAAATTAACAAAATGTTTCAGCTATTCACGTATGCTTATAGCTAAACTGTTTATCCAAACAACCACGTCTGACTCTTCATTTTCCACACAGAATTTTATACTACAAATCATACGTTTTTCATACCCACCATCATACACTTAAATAGGTATAGTGATATGTCATACAGAACCACCTTGACCAAAGTAGGATATATTCAGATTTATTATGATTGTAACTGTATTGAATGTATTCTACTTTGTTTCCTTTGTACTATTTAATTTTGCTACGGTTATCTATATACCCTGAAGAAGTGACTGAAATCAAGTCACGAAACGTCAGAAATACAATTTTCTACTCATTGGGATATCATAAAAATATATTTATTATTGTATCATAAGAAGATTAAATTATTGGTAACTTGAAGGAATTATTTATAAACTGTTATTATACATATATCCTCATTGCACAACTATTAAATAACTATATTATATGTATTATAAGCAAAGATGGATAGTGGCTAGCAGTGCTATACAGGATGAGCATTTTGTCTTATGTGGAACTCGTCAGATGGATGTACCTGCATCTCCGAGTTGATGTTCACTCTGGGACTCGAACTCAGTACCGTCAGCTTCAAACGCTATCGCGTTATTCACTTAGCTACTGAGTCTTGATAGCCACATACATGTGCACCACTGGTTTGGAATAAGGGTTTCCTAACTCTCCTAGATGGACTCTCTGTGTTCTTCAACCCGGTTAAAGCGTCGAACGTTCGCTTTGCATCCTCTCAATTTCGTAAACAAGAGTAATGCAGCGAGAATCCTTTGAGTTAGACTTCCCTGGTAGTCGTTGTATGCAGGTAGCCATGTGAGAGCATACGGGGGCTATTTATTGGGATTTTATGAATATATCATTATGTTTATGACTAAATAATTTATCTATTTTCATTTAGTAGTTAAATAGGAATTGTGAAAAGATTAGTTCGAATTAAACAAATTTTTTGATTACAGATCATAGACATTGGGTGAAGCATTTGAAAACTAGAGACCATTGGAAAGCTATCCTCTTTCAGTTTGATTATCTTTACCAATGCATTCTTACTAGTAACTAGCGTTGACCTGAAATTCTTGTAGTAAGTAGTTTAGACTTGTGAAGTTCAGTAGAAACACAGGAATGATACAATAAATTTCTGATGGT